ATAACTACCCAATGGAAGAACGTTAGGTATAGCTTTTATTTTTTAACGTTACATATCACACCATTCCCTCAGAAAATACCTGAGTCGGAGTCAAGTGCATAAGCATCGTTCCTTTACCCATTGAAATTTATCTCATCAGGACAAAGAACTGCTAGTGTTGTTACTTCTTGTGTAAAAAACAGGTTAATTTTAGTGATGTCTAAGTGTAAAACATCCAAATTGTACTTGAAACGCTGTTGACTATTACATCGGACTGAAAACATTGGCGCACTGGAACGTAAGAAAGGTATTCGAACCACTTCTTATTATTGAAATAAACACAAGACCTCAAGTCTTGGAGAGCAATATTACTCTTTTCAGGCACTGAAGAAACCATTTAACTCAATCATTAGGTCTCCTAAGTTATCAGCCTGTGTATTCAGCGTTTAACCACTAATGAAGTTCCAGTTCGGGGTGTCCTCATTGCTCTGATCTATGCCGCTTAGGGCACCTCACTTTTCTCTCATGTCACCATAATCTACCTGTCGCTATCTCGTGTGAATCTCACTCCTGGGTCTTTCATCTTACGCGCCTTTCTCTTTAGTGTCTCTTGATACAAATCACAGCGGAAGCCCTTTTCAAGCGTGATTGCACAGGAATTCTGCTCCAACAGCTCTTCACAACACCGGCTCCCCACACCATCCTGCAGATCCCTTGTCGAATCTCTATCGCCGCCACTACCCCATCTGAGGAGCTTCCAGAAAATGTAAGGACCTATTAACCTATAAAACAAGAATACTTCACTCCGTCTTTGGTCTTCGCTTTGCTAGTGTGATATTCGTCAGTGATTACTAATAAGATTATTTTGACACCACTTCTCAAAATGCTCAATACCAACGCTTCTAAAACTAGTGGTGATTCCTCACTACGTCGAAACTTCTAAGTGAAACTGCTCAAGTCCTAGTTCACAACCACACCATAGACCATTATTTATCAACTAAACATTTATTGCGATAGTAGCATACGGTAGAACAACGACTGATATCCGCGCTATGTAGTCGTCTAAAAAATTCACGCTGATTTATTCGCATGAAGATATTTCGGGTATGTGAATGGCAGATATTGGACCTTTATCGGCACCGGCACAAGTTGAAGTGCCATCGAACCCCTTTTTTAACCGAAATCTTCTGGGAGTGTTTCTCACTGCCCCATTAATCATTATGGAAGGTTTATAACAATTAATGTTAACGATCTCTACAGCGATATACCAACAAATTCCTTTGTTCTAGAACACACAAGATCCATATTGCTTTTGAGAGTCTTGAAAACCTCAGAAGAACGCTAAGAAACGTGTCTGTGACTTTTCATTTATGAACGAACATTCTCCGTAAGTGGATATACTAGCTGCCTTGAAGTTCTCTTGTGGAAAAAGGCGAACAAGTTGCAGTTTGTCTCAGTTTTAATTTATCATGAAACCACTTCACACAGAAACGCAATAATGTAGTGCTTTAGGTGGTCGTTCACAAACCATCAATCAGTTTGAGTGATTGTCGAATACACACAATTCCTAACGAAATGGCAAGGGTTTCTGGAAGTTGAGGAAGGTGAGTGCCGGCGAGCTTCTCAGGCTCGCGTGGCCCCAATTTGTCTGGTGGCGAGCGAGTGATGAATCGCGCTAGCAGCCGTGCCCGGGGACGGAGGTGATCATTGTGGACCGGTCTGGGCCTTCCTTCACCGCCACACTCTCTGGCCAACTGTCGCAAGACTGAGCTGCTCCCTTACAACTAGTCCTGCCAAAACAGTCGGCTCAGCATTGTCTAAATCGACGCAATCTTAGTTGCTTCCGCCTTCCGTTTTTTCTTCTCACAATCGCATTGTTCGCCACATTCGCAATTGGTTCGACTTCCTGTAAGTCCATGAAAACGTGGTTTGTTTGCTTCAGCAATAATGATCGGCCACTTTTTACGATCCCTTGTCTATCAGTCGTTCGTTGAGCGTTTGTCATCTTATCCAGTACCCTTTTCAGAAGGTTCTTTTTTCTTTTACGTTCTCATTATGTACAGATGAATTATTGCTTTGCTTCGCTGTTTTTATATTTTCTACCACTTGAACGAAGGAAAATTACTCAACCAAGTGATAGACATTTGTTCAGCTTGTTTCTTTGGAAATTTTTCTTCTGCAAATGACTGGAGAATAACGGGATGCAGGACCAAAGGTGCCAAAGCATTGTCTGCTTGGAATTGAGTTTTTTATGATTCAGAGCTAATCAATATTCATAACACACTTTTTTGTTGTAAACTTCACTTGTCTATGTATCCCTGAGTTATTCTTTTCACTAATCCACGCGATCAGATATCAGCGCAGATCTTTTCTAGTCGCATTAAAGAAGAAGAAGACAGAAGACGGGAGCGGAGCAGATCATTGCCGCGTCATGCGCCTAATTCGAAGAGGCAGAAGAGGACGAGATCGGGTTCGATAACATGGTCGAATAACATTTGTATAACTATTACGAAACGAGTTTCCAGCGAATCTCTGGCCGTTTCTCGTTTAGTTAGCTGGTTTTCATATAGAATACTTTATGATGGACATATTGTGTCAGCACTGTACGAAAAATCAAGCATATGGAACTGGAGCGCATGCCGGTTTGTTTCTGAGAATATCTCTTGAAATCTTAGTTCTCTTTACTTTTATGGACTACGTGTTCGTATAAAAGTCCACAAAGACATCACGCAATTGGAGGACTTGATCATATCAACTGAATTCCTCTCCAACGTGCCCAAAGTTATGCTTCGGAAATTCATCTGCACTAACAGAGTCAAGAGGTCATGTTGAAGAGAATCACCCAGAAAGAAAGAAAAGGCGGAATTTCCACTTTTTCATTGCGAGTTAAATATTTTCATTTTAAGTCATACTTGCAAAATATATAAGGTGTTTCTATGCATGCATATGCTCCCTTAAAACTACACGAGGGATACGTACCTTTGCTGATTCTGTCATTTGGTGGCATTTGAAGGGTCGCAATGACAGTGTCCAGAAATCAGTAGCAGTGATCTTAAACTTCTATTGTTTGTTTATCTGTAGCTTCTTCACGTCCAATGAAAACTCTCTATTTTCCTGCCAATGTTATTTATACACGCAAGTTTTCCAGCGAGCAGTTGCCGCGCTGATACGCTATATCATTCCGATTCTAACAACAATGAAATACTGTACTACTATAGCGAGACCACTTATCAATAACTCTGAGATACTATCATAGAATGACAAAACGAACTTTGTGATAACATTAAGGCATAAATCTCTAGAATTTATGCGAAAATGTGATGCCCGATGCGCAATGCAATGTAATGTGATAATGAACGTGACTCCATCGTGGAGCAGACTATGAAATGATTTAGAAGTAGCTGTTCGCAGCGCAGACGATGGCCAGCGAACATACAGTACCAGAGAGCGGCGAGCTGCTGCGACGAGTCGCAGCTGCGGCGTCCCGGTGCGTCGCCGAATCAATTCGCGGCGCGCGAGGCGTGGCCGACCAATGGTGGCCGTCGCCCCACCCACGCCGGCCTGCTGGCCACTGTTGGTGTTGGTCTTCGGAGATCGCCGAAGCTGGCAAAACATTTACATTGCTACTCAGAAACTTCTATAACGGACCACCATTTGGCCTACCATTCCCTCGACCAGCACTTTGCGGTTCTAACAGGGTCAAAGGCGCCTAGCGCTGATATTGGCCTGAGTCCTTTTTTATTTTATGCTTTGAGTTGCTCTTTAATCCCGGCGTTAGCCGGCAGATCTGTTTCCATTGTTAATCCAAGTCGTGTTCTTTGGTTTCCTTTGACAGATGCTTTCACGTCAACTTTTTTTGGTTTTGTTCTGAACTGATCGAATTCTTGGTGATTTCATCTCCCAGCTCCAATCTAGCTATATATTATAACTATGTTATATTCTATATTCAGAAAAAAACTGTGGTTATTTAAACTTCTTCTTGGCTTTTTTTTAGCTCCAATGGATTATATAACATAATTAAATCAGCGTGCTATTTTTATACTGTAGCACTTCTTCTTCATTCTAGCCTGGTTCCAGCTAAAAGGAGTGGCTATTGGAGAGCCTTCTGTCTCCTGTATTTTTTTTTTTACTAAAACTCATGTTTTTCTTGGCGTCATTCCACCGAACTACGCGAACAAAGAGAATGGTTCTTCTTGCGAATGTTTCGACTTTCCTGACCAATTTACCTCTTTACTGTCATTCGCATTACTTCTCCGTAGAGTTTCGAGAGTTGTTCAGCGCATTTACGACATTTTACAACGTGTGCTGTTATATTTTATCAGCTCCAGCAGCACAGTAGCTGACGACTGGTTTGCGATGCTAAATAAACGATAGCTGCTCGTCTCGTCGCTATCAGCACAAGACCCTCTTTGTACTTTTGCGTTCCATTAAAACAACATTTGTTCAGCACAAAATACAATAACAAACGCCAAAAACGGGCTGAACTTCACAACTGTCGTCGTTTTCAGGGTGGTGAAAATTGACATCTGCTTCTGTCGACAAGATACTCCTAGTCCATGATCGACCCGATACTTTTTCTAGGAGCTTAATAACTGCAACCGGAGATTTCGAACGCAATGATTCAAAATAAACAACGACGAGCTGAGACAAAGATTCGATTTCAGCCCAGCTGTCAGTGTTTTGATGCGGTGCGGACGAGTTGTACGCGAAATGTGCAGTCACCGGTTATAGGTCGAGCAGTGCTTCAACAGCCGTTGTTGTCTCAAGTTTCCAACACTTTCTACGAAAACCTTTCTTTTTCTATTTTCATCGATTTTTTCTACATTACCGTTATCAATGTTACTTAATTAATGAGCTTTATCTTCCCAACCGACCTCATTCAATGATGGTCATACGATCCATGTATGGCAAAATATACTCGCTTTCTGTCCATTCATGTCTCCTTTCCTTCACTTGAGTAAAATACTCACTATTTTCCGAACTTCCAACTAGGAGCACTTTGAAAATTATCTGATTTTTAGACCACGCTGCCAATGTCGACGAAGGCAAAAATGCGTTTCTCTATGGACTCGATTCTGGCAGCATCTGAGGCAAAAACTCGAAAACGACCAGTGAACGACGATTTTCACACCCCCGAACCGGCCAAAAAATCCTACCTATCTCCTCAACGAACTTGCTCAGCTGTAGAAGAAACTCAGACACCTTCCGTTTCAGTTGATGAAAAACCCAAGTATTGGGCAGAAAGCCCGGAACCATCGACAAGTTGCAGTCCAGAAGACCTTAGTTGCCGATTAACGCGTAGATCAGAGAGTCCCGACTGCCTTCGCCTAATAGAGAAAGATGATCCAAAAGAAGGCTGTTCGAAAAGCAAAGATCTGTCTGCTTCTCCGGAACAAGCCGAAGAAAATCCTTCACTGGAATTGCAACCTATCAGGTATGGGTATGAATTTTTGCACAGTTGATTGTACAATGAAGATATAATGGATACTAATAAAACCAATAATTATTAAAGACACTCGGTCGGATCATCGTTTCTGATGAAGATGAAGACGTGGAAACGTTAGCTGAATAGAGATTGTTAGTCAACCCCTGCAAACTCATCAAAGGAACAGTACATTAGAGACACTTGTTGACACTGTTAATCCAAGGACAAAACTCCTGTCTCATAAGAGAAATACACATACTCGTAATGTAATCATCGTCGAGTAATGTAATCGAGTTTTGAATTTAGTTCCAATTGCAGTGATCGTCAACTCTAACTATTTTCTCTATTTGTCAATTATATTGTGCCTGAATAAGAGCTATAAGTGGGCACTTCCAGCCCTTCCGGAATGTCGTCACATCGTTCGAAGTCTGGTGCTACAAAACCTGCCTATTCCTACATTGCGCTTATTGCAATGGCGATTCTCAACGCCGAAGACAAAAAACTGACATTATCGCAAATCTGCGACTTTATAATGTCGCGATTTCAGTACTACAGGTTCGTTTTAGATTCCTTAAGAAACGAAAGCACTGTAGGCTTTGCAAGCATCTCTGACAGTAGAGGGAGAAAGTCGTAGATGCATGTAGAAGATGGCTTTCGGCTCACCATGTTTGGGGAAATGGAAAGGGTATAACATTTTTAATATTCCATCTTAGCCGATAAAAACTCATTGTTGTCGTCCGCATCATTATTAGTACACTTTCACTTAAGCAGCTAATAGATGACGGTTTTGATTACCTGTGAGCTAAAAACCACTTCTAATCAGTAAACCTTCACCAACTTGTCGACTTATTGGTGCAATATTATGACTACATAATCAGGTCTTTAATACTTCAGGGATAAGTTTCCCGCATGGCAGAATTCAATTCGTCACAATTTGAGTCTTAACGACTGTTTCGTGAAGATACCTCGAGAGCCGGGCAATCCCGGAAAAGGCAACTACTGGTCTCTGGATCCGAAGGCGCAGGATATGTTCGATAACGGCTCGTTTCTGAGAAGACGGAAGAGGTACACTATTCACATCGTGTTCACTTTTCATCAGGATTTCACCAATAGTGCTACCGTAGGCTGATGAACACAATGCGAGCGCACTATTCTATTGCGATACCTCCACATCGATCAGATTAATCCGCTCTTAAAATCACGTTTTCTCCAACAAAACATCGCCACTAATCTCTTTCGAATACAAATACATTTACCTCTCTTCCCTAAACAGAAGGGAAGCTCAACGAAGGTCTGGAATCTTCTGCTTTTCCCTTATCATATAACACCAGGACGACGTTGGCAGTTTTTGGAAATGTGTTTGAAATAAAACTTTTCCTGCCGTTGTTTCTGTAACGACTAACACTGTCTTATCATTTATTACTGTATTTTAACCTTTCCCAACTTGCGTCTTTCTTCTATTGATATTCTTGTCAGTCAAAACTCCTATTCATAAAAGAAGGAAATTCGCTAGCACTATCGATCCAATAACTAAGCATCAAAAAAGACAAAACAACTTCAATATCGATTCGATCACTCTCATCATCACAAAAACAGAAGCATTTCATCAGTCTATCGTTTATCGTGAAGTTTAGTAATTAGTTTAGGATCTTCCGCTTTGTTTCACTGACCTGACACCATTGAGAATTTAACAGCTTACTCGACATTTTGAAGAATAGTTACATTTTACTAAAACTAATTGCGAAATTCAAACAAGATAGAGTAGGTAGTTAGTTGCAGACGTAAAAAATCTTGACGCTTCGATCTTATCATTCTTAATCAAGATTCAAGCGCCAGCCGGAACAGCACGACCTGTCACAGCTGACTTTTCCTCCATTCATGGCCCCTGTGGGACCCATCCTACCGCCACGACTTCCACTTCCGATGCCACCGATTCTGACACCGCTTCCACCGTCGACAGCGCCTATTCCAGCACAGCTATCTCATCATCAAATGGCAATGGTTCCTACGATGATACCTCCAATGCCATCTAGACTGCCCTACTTCTATCCAACATTGTCTTCTAATGTCGATCATCAAAAACTGCTAGCCGCTATAGCATCACAAATACCATTAACTTCTCCGATTTCGGAAATCGCAGACACGCTGAATAAGGTCGACTGATTATGCCTTTTCTTTTTCATTCACCACATTTTGCTCTGGGATTTGTTATCTTATCAGCAGTGTCGCAGCGAAGAGTATTCCATTTTCATGAAGACGAGTATTCTCATTGATCTGATCTGTTTTCGAGCTTATTCACGGTTTCGATGTTTTTTTTCTCTCGCAAGAATCTGTCCTCCTCATAAGTCTTTTCCAGGCTTCTTTTTGTTACTCATTCTAGAACTTTTGTTTATAAGCGTTATCATCGAATATTGTGTCTCACCGGTTTTTCATTGCATCTTGTTGTATAGAAGAAATTTGCAGTTAAACACTGGAATGAACTTGAAAAACTCTCTATGTACATTGTCGGCAACACAAAAGGGTCAGTTTGACTTGATCAGTCAACAGAAGCATGCACGGGCTTTTGCTGACGACCGATTATGACAACGGCGTTGATAAGAGGATTAACCCCGACGCTACTGTAGGAAACAATCAGTGACTTAGCAGCCTCCTCGGCCTCCTACGGCTCGCTCTTCATCCCTAAGTCTGAATGCCCAAGTGGCATTGTTTGGTGTGTTTACTACATATGCCGCTGCAGGTATCAATCTCATAATCAGGCGCTCATTGCGACGCAACAGTACTTGGATGACGCAATTTCTAACCTATAATACAGTTCAGCCGCGCTTAGTACTCGTAAGGCCTTGCAGCGATTCAAAAACTTTTATTTATGCAAAAACCATGTTTTCTCATACGTGACCAGTATTAGCTATGTAAATCCCGTTCGCAATGAATTCTATCATTTGAATCAGCTTTGAATTCCTTAACAAATTTTGGTCATCTATCAGTGACAGCGCCAACAAATTGTGAGAAACGAAAGCTGAAAAACCGGGAAAAAAAAGCTGGGCCTACCTGCCGCTGACTGGCAGAAAGGCTGACGTCCTTTAGATAAAATATATTGTTTGGTTTTGGCAATGCTAGTCGAGAAGAGTGGTGGATTGGACAAGAGGGATACCGTAATCGAGGTCGCTGCATGACACAATTTATTCGCGTTTCAAACTCAGATCACAATGCTTGCTACTGAGAGTCCTTTCTACACATTAGGACAATGCTGTAAAAAAATTCAGAGGTTAAATAAATCTAAACTAGCACTCGTCGGCTAGTAATAGTAGTGTTTTAGGCAAAATTTGAAGTAATCAGTTGTTCACTCACTGTCTCTAGCAAGTCATTGTGTAGGTTTAATGTGCAGTCACGTCTCTGTGGGCTTACATTCTTCGAAAATCATCTATATCGAAATCTTGCGAAAGCTTAGCGGTGCTTGAATTAGAAGTTCATATCGCTTCTTCCATAGAGTACTATTCTCGCCGAGTACTCAACTCGTGAAAATTGTGTAAAAATTTGTTTCGTAAGATGTCCGATCCACATTCGCAAAAACCCAACGGAAATTAGTGCAGCGAGAGAGCATGGAAGTGTTTTATCACAACAAATAGAAAATTATATCGATGTGCCAATTTAATATTTGGAATCTGCGACACATACGTGAGATTGGTTTCCACGCCCGTAGCTCACCAGGCTTTCAGGCTCTCCGGGATGGGTACGAGACCTGCCTCGCTAGCAGCGCTGACCCGATACATCGGTAGGCCACCACGAGTCATTGTAAGGGTCAGGTATACATTTAATCACCCCAGTAATCCTTAATGAAGTCGAATGCGTGGGGTATCCCTGAAGGATTGATTAACGCCGAGAGCCTTTTTACTGATGAGCAACAAAATTCAGTGGAAACCTCCCGAAAACATCTGACAGGCTGCAAAAGATTGCCATTTATAATCTAGAGTAGACGCCTGAGTGAAGGTAACAAGTATTTCTTCCGCGCCATACTCAGCAATGTTAAGTTGATTGCTTTCAAACTTACCACATATGTTCCAGATGAATCACTTCCATTGTCAGCATACAATGTTCCGGGAACGAATGTTGGAGTAGGGGTAATACTATTGAAGATGTGGTGATTGAGATGTTATTTGTGACACTCACCAGATCAGCCATTATGTTTTTCTAGATGTTTTTTAATTCTTTTATTGCTAATCAGGATTGAGAGACCGAGGAAACAGCGCAATGTGAGTCAATCAATAGCATGTCAACCGCCAACATTTATTGAATTAACAAGTAGCGATATGTGGTAAATTGGCTGTGTTTGTCTTTTCATCAATATTTCTGTGCTTCTAATTTTTCCATGACAGTTTTCGTCGATCAACCAAGAAGTCAAGGTTATCAGGTAGTTGAGACGGAACCTGTATTCTCCAAATTTGTAAGAGGAAGATCTGCTGCTATCACTCGATGCTTCTTCATCGGCCGTCTACATTTGAACAGCCAAAGAACTTTTCCGGCAGTGCGAAATAATGGAGGCGACTTCTCATCCGCTCAGGAAAAGACGACTCTTAATTGTTTCTTGACGGAATTCCCTCTAACGGCAGCAGCACGAATTTGTTATTGTTCAGTGGTAATTTCTCTCGAATAGATCCGATTTTGTTTAAATGAAAATAAGTGAAAGTGGATTGTCTTCTGTTATTTGGTATTCCTAGACAACAGTAGAAAAAGAAACTGATGGAGTCATTTATAAACTGAGTACTAGCGTTACACCTGCTGATAAACGGTGGCTAAACTTCGGTTTGAAAGAAGGTGGGGCACACAGAGGCTTTGGGATTCCGTACATTCTCTGGTTTTCCTTGCAGCCACAATCCATCGCTATCGGAAACGGTTGTCAGATTTGAATTTGGACGAGGACGTTAACTGGAAATACAGCTAATTAATACTGTGCATGTTAATACTGTGCACACACCAGAACCTGTTACTAGCCGTTTTTGTTTTCCTAAAGCTTATTTTTTATATATCAAGCTAACATTTCATTTCAACTTCGTTGATGCATTAATACACAACAGTTCTTGATCCGCGCTGCGAATGTAGCCTGGTTCAATTCCAGTGCACTCTTTGCTTTTCGGCAGATATCTATCCATTGTTCAGAGAATGGTGATCACAAAATTAGCGTTGACTGCTGATTAATTCATTTCTGCTTATGTAGCGTGTGTGTATGTACGTATGTGCGTATGTGTGTGTATACGACCATGTGTTCCCCGTGTGTGTGTATGTGTGTGTGTGTGTGTGTGTGTGTGTGTGTGTGTGTGTGTGTGTGTGTATGTGTGTTTCTGCGTGTGTGTGTATGTATGTGAGTCTGCGTGTGTGTGTATGTATGTGAGTCTGCGTGTGTGTGTATGTATGTGTGTGTATTTGTGGGTGTGTGGGTGTGTGTAAATGTATGTGTTGGTGGGTGTATATGCGTGTGAGCGCAAACATTTGGACAATCGTCGTATCGGCCAATCGCATCGTAATTTGATTAGATCGTGATTATATCAGCTGCTCACTGGAATGGAAAGAAATGCGCAAAAGATACCCCGAGTTCTAAGAATACTAATGAATGGAAGTATCGTAGAAATTATTACATCTGTGACTTAAATCTTACACGACAGCGTGCCACACTTGACAAACATGTACCGCAATTGGAGCAGATTCCTATTAAAAGTTCTACTCGAATTTTTGAGTCTGACCGAAGTCTTCGAATGTTTGACTCGTATGCTGAACCCCTTTCGTCGTTGCTCTTGTGGGCCACCAGTAAGACACTAGAACATCGGTTTTCGAGAAGAGAAACTTATGTATCTTCGCTGACATCAGAACCTCCATTCAGTGCAAAGCTTATCATTGTGAGTTTCTTCTAGAATTCACGTCTTCCTAATAAATCATCATTGATAATCGCAGCGATTTCCGCTCTACGTCTGATCCAATTTCGGAAATATTTCTCGCCGTGCGCTCTGATGTGATTAGTCGACCGTGTCGCCATTGCTTAACGTCAACTGCTTGGAAAACGAGCTGGAGATTCAAATGGAACCGCAACCATCACAGCAACATTTTCTCTTTAGACGGAAACAAACACCTAGTTTTCAC